AGCCCCCTCCCGTGAGAACTGGCTGGCGCTTGACGTCACTCGGCCCCGTGACTTCACGTCCCTCCGGGCCAGGTGGCCTGAACCTGAAACAGCTGTCTCCAAGTACAGGTAGATATACTCTTGGCCCATCCCTGGGACCCTGGAATTGGAGGAGAGCACGGATCCCCTTTATTTACTCAGCCCCTTTATTTAAGGAGCCATGAAGCACCTACTATGTGTCAACGCAGCAAATAGGCATTAAGCACCTATTGTGTGTTCATTTAAAAAATAAGTTCCTACCATGCCCCACGCCCTGTCCCAAATACAGAACTGTTTTTTGCCTTGATAGGATCCCAGAATTCAGGCGCTGCCCCTTCTGTCCTAGCAGACTGGGCGCAACCAACAACCTACCGTGCCCTTTCTGATGTCTGTCCCGCCCTCGCTGTCATTGACCTGCAGGTCCAGGTTGCACCCTGCCTTCCAAGTTGGGGCCAGTCTTCTATCTGGTTCTTGAGTTTCCCCCTCTTTTCCTCATTCCACCTTTTGGGAGGGTACTAGTTGTGAAAATGCATAAATAAGCTGCTTATATGTTTATTTACCAAATACACTAAACACCTGGTATGTGCCAGACACTATTCTAAAGGATGGAGACAAATCAGGAAACAAAACAGGCAAAACTCCCTGTCCCCCAAAGAGTTGATGTTCTACCGGATGTGTGCGGAATGTCCAAAATATTGTAAGAAGAAATTGGTAAATTTCCTGGGAGAGGAGGCTGCTTTCACTCTATGACTCCTTTGTACCTTTTGACTGTTGTAAAGTGCATATTATTGTAATGTGTTTAACTTTTCCAACAATAAATTAAATTAAAATTAAGCCTGCTTGCCTGGCTGGCGTGGCTCAGTTGTTTGAGCTTTGTCCCATGCACCAAGAGGTTGCTGGTTGGATTCCAGTCAGGGCACATGCCTGGGTTGCAGGCTTGATCTCAGTAGGGAGTGTGCAGGAGGCAGCCAATTGATGTTTCTCTCTCATTGATGTTTCACTCTCATTCTCCCTTACTCTCTCTCTCTCTAAAAATCAATAAAAACATATTTTTTAAAAATTAAGCCTGCTTGATACCCAGACAGTGCAATAAAAGGAAGGAAAAGGGTAGGCGCACTCTTCTGTATGTGTATTATACTTCAAAAAAGCAAAATTATGAAAAAGGGTACATATCTACATTCCCATGTTTATTGCAGCATTATTCACAATAGCCAAGACATGGAAACAACCTAAATGTCCCTCAATGGATGAATGGATAAAGAAAATGTGATATATATTTTTTCATATATATAATTTTCCACTTATATTTCCATATATAAAAAATATATATGAACTATTATCCAGCCTTAAAAGTAGGAAATCCTGTCATTTGCAACAACATGGGTGGACCTTGAGGGCATTATGCTAAGTGAAATAAGCCACAGAAAAAGACAAAAATAGTGCATGATATCACTTATATATGGAATCTAAAAAAGAAAGTGAAATTCCTAGAAACAGAGAGTAGGAAAGTGGCTGTCAGGGGCTGGGGTGGGAGAAATAGGGAGCGGTTACAAACTTTCAGCAATAAGATGAGTGAGGTCTGAGAATCCAATGTGAAACATGCTGACTATAGTTGATAATACTGTATGACATTGAAATTTGCTGAGAGGAGAACTTAAATGTTCACACACACACAAAACACCTCACAAAAACATAGATAAATATGTGAAGTGAGGGATGTGTTAATTAACTCAATGGGAGAAATCTTTCCTGTGTATATATGTATCAAATCACTACGATGTGCCCTTTAAATATCTTATAATTTTATATGTCTATGATACTTCAATAAAGCTGAAATTAAATAAGTAAAAAAAAAAATGCTTGGCCAGGTGTGGCTCAGCGATTGAGCACCGACCTAGGATCCAGGCTATCAGGGTTCGATCCCCGGTCAGGGCACATGCCCGGGTTGCAGGCTCAATCCCCAGTCGGGGGCGTGCAGGAGGCAGCCGATCAACGACTCTCTCATCATTGATGTTTCTATCTCTCTCTCTCCCTCTCCTTTCCTCTCTCTGAAATAAATAAAGATATATTTTTAAAAAATTAAAGCTGCTTGATACCCAGACAGTGCAATCAATAAAAAGAAGAAATAGAGGCTGGGCCAACGTGGCTCAGTGGTTGAGTGTTGACCTATGAACCAGGAGGTCACAGTTCGATTTCTGATTAGGGTACATGCCCGGGATGTGCAGGAGGCAGCTGATTGATGACTCTCATCATTGATGTTTTTATCTCTCCCTCTTCCTTCTCTCTGAAATTCATTTTAAAAATATATTTTAAAAAATGGACCCATTGCCATAGCCGCTTTGGTTCAGTGGTTAGGGCGTCAGCCTGCAGATTGAACGGTCCTGGGTTCAATTCAGGCCAAGGGCATACACCTTGGTTGCAGGCTTGATTTCCCGCCCTGGTTGGAGCTTGTGTGGCAGGACACCAATCAATGTGTCTCTCTCACATAGATGTTTCTCCCTCCCTCCCCCCTCCCCTCCACTCTCTCTGAAAAGCAATGAAAAAAATATCCTCAGGTGAGGATTAAAAGAAAAAAGCCCATTAGTGCCTATTACAAAATTAAAATGGAGTGGTCTAGTTTGTACTGAGTGAAACTGTCTTCAACATGTTAAATTGGAAAAAGCACAATGTAGAACATTTTGCATTGTTTGCCTCAACTTCTGGGTGTATTTATAAGAGCTGTATAAATACACACACATTTGCCTGAGGGCTCACAGACTGTCTTTGGGGGAAGGCACAAGACACTCGTTACAGCGGTTAACCTCAGGGAGGGGAGGGTAACAGGTGAGAGGGTGTCAAACTTTTCATCCTGTGCCCTGGGATAGTGTTTGAAATTTTTACTTTGTATTACCAAATTTTTGAAATTTACAAAGACATGAAAAATCAAATAAAAGATAACAAATCACCAGACTCCTAGTTGAAAAATGATTCCTGTAATAATAACAAATATAAATAAACAAAAACACTGTTAATAATGATATCAATATTATTATTCAACTTATCAACATTAACGAATTTATACTAAGAATAAATGTGGCCCTGGCCAGGTGGCTCAGTTGGTTGGAGCATCATCCCATACACTGAAAGGTTGTGTGTTCAATTCCCAGTCAGGGCACTTATCTAGGTTGCGGGTTCGATTCCCTGTCAGTCGGGGCGCATAGGGGAGGCAACTGATCCCCAATTGATGTTTCTCTCTCACATCAATGTTTCTCTCCCTCTCTCTCTCTCTCTTCCCCTCTTTCTAAAATCAATAAATATATCCTCAGGTGACGATTTTAAACAGTATTAAAAAATAAACATGTTTACATTATTAATAAAGAAATGCATATTAAGAATATATTAATGCTGCCTGGCCGGGCGTGGCTCAGCGGTTGAGCGTCGACGTAGGATCCAGGCGATCAGGGTTCGATTCCCGGTCAGGGCACATGCCCGGGT